CTTGGTACAATAATGCTATGCAGGTAATGCGTTTTAGAAACTTTTATGCTATTAAAAATCATCAACATCAGGAAAGAAAGCTTTGAATTCTGAAACTTTTCTGTCATTCTGATTGTAACGCAGCTAACTTCTTTGTAACATTTCGAAGCAGTTGAAAGTATTGTAATAATTGCTCTGGTTCTGTGCATTTCAGCTGATTGCTGAAAACAGTGCTAACAGTGTACTAATAAAGATTATTTAGATGAGCCGGGACAGATGCCTGTTAAAGTGCAGCTGATTGAGAAATCAAGCAGATCAGTGTCGAATAAATAATGTGATAAATAATTAAATGGTAAAAGGTTTAAATTCACATAACTTTCTAAGTAGGAATCGTTTTGAGTCAGCATTATAACCACATCTAAGTCGTGGCGGACACGCCTCCTTGCTAAACGGACAGTGACGTGATTCAGACAAAGTAGGTGCTCAGAATACTATTATATTTAGCAAATACGGTTATCTAATGTATTCAACGCCTTTGTGCATGGAAAATGATCCAGTCCGTGGAGAACCTCTAAATCTGCATGTAACCATTTCTCGCTACTTCACTAAATGCAGTTGCCTACCTTTTGCTGTAACCAGTATACTGATTGTAACCTTATCCTCATCCGCTATTCAGCAAATTAAACCCTCTTCAGAAACGATATAATGGTTCAAATAGCCTTTGCAACACAATTAGTAGCTCAGACAAATGCTAAATTGTACTGTACTAAAACAGAAATACATTGCATTAATCCTGGTGATGCTGGGTGAAAATAAAGCGTTATTGCTTTAAATGCCTTCATCCATCATCATTCTCCATTAATGAACATCATCATCGTCTTAGCAGTGACTGGAGTACAGACTCACAAGCAAGGTGTAATACAGTGGAACATGATTTCTTAGCCATGGACTTGTTATGCATACTATAAAATGGCCAGATAGCGGGATAGTAATAACCACGATTTAATATACTTTTTTTACTTTCATAGTAAATCTGTCTAATAGAATACCATTTTGACCAAAATCATGGCCGGTTCGGACCAGAGCCACAGTCCGTGTTAATCTCTAGTCACATCATGGTAAAATCGTTTGCCATGTTGTCTATCTTATGAACGAAATTCGACGACTCATGATCAAGAGGAACGGAACATGGAGAACATTACTGGTGAAAGATGGCAAGAAATGAAAATAAACATTTTTTATGTCGTTGAGATGGTCAGAACGAAAAAAATTAGTTCCTCATGCATTACATTGATATGCCCTTCTGAACGAACGGGCTGTTTCATTTGTGTTTGTCGCTGTCTACCCTGAAATTAGACTTCCGGTCACAGGCATGAATATTCTCCGAGCACTGAATGGGTGAGAAAATCAACATCATTTGGTAGTACTGATTCGATGTAACTTGGATATACTCTTTGTCATAGGAGTTGCTTGTTGTACTTGAAAGATCTTGCTTTTAGTTCTACAGATCAGATTAAATTAATCGATTTATGCATAAACGAGCAGCGTTTTTGCATTGCCAAAGTACATAAGCGCGTCGATAAACATCATCTCTGGCCATGAAGGTCATGTAGTCCTGCCAACGCTCACGTCTGCTGTTTTAAATTCACATTTTTGCCTTCTCGCTGTCTCGATTTCTCTGACATTTCTTCCAAATGTTTAATTAACGGCTATTAATTTTAAGTTTGTCATTTTTCAATAAACTCAGCACTCCTCGCATTCTTTCATTTGATCGGATTATGATCAAGGACTTATTGCATGGAATATTTCAGGGGTTTATGGCATGTATTTTATCTCTTTTAACCGTCATTTAAAAATTAGATAACTTTTATCCATGTAACAGGTACGCTGTCATAATTTGCACTGACGTAACGGCAGGTTGAATGACGCAGATGGATGGGTATTTCTCCACGTGAATAACGAAACTCATTAACGAACAAGTAACATCGACCAATGCTTATGTATATAAATAATGAGGCGCAGTTTTACTTTTAGAATGAAGTACCTTTTTGTCCATTGCACAAGCATATTACAACTTGCCGTCCAAGCCGCTGTTTTCATTTTTGTCCTTGTTTTCTCTTTCCTTTACTGCTTGTCCGATTTGCTCCTTAATGTTTTCAGTGATCTCCATGGCGGAAGGTAATTTTGACGTTGGCTTATCACGTATCCACGTCGCCTTGTAGAAGCCCGAGTTTCTGCCGGTTGTTACAAATTCCATGTTCTCGACTTTCGGTCGGGGAATGCGCATGGGTTTAGTTGGAATGTTCAGCGTTATATCAGATGGAAAAGTTGGCTTGGAGATGCTCATAACTCACATTCGCGGTCAAAGGGCAATTCCAACACGATAGACTAACGATGCTGTCTTTGCGGATTTTTCAGGCTGCTGAGCAGCAGTCATCAACAATGCACGCAGCAACCGACAATACCAGGTAGCGACGGCAGGCTGATGTTCGTCCATGATTAGCCGTTTTATCTAATCCACTTTCCAGAATCGTGATTCATGGGTGAGCTTAAAGTAACGTCACATTTAATGAGGCATTACCAGAAGCAGTGTGGCATCAGATATATTGCCTGTTACGAATGGGAAAACTTTCACATTGGGCAATGACGGCTGAATCGTATAAAAGTATATACAAGCAAGTGTATATACAATAACCAGTGCGGTACATGTTTTAAATTCGGACTCGTTTAATCGCGTACCTGGTTCAGGTCTACGGCTTTTCCTTGCTGCGACTCAAATGACGTGGGCGCCTAGCGAACTAACTTTTTATTAATTTGCTGATATAGCGTTTATGTGGCTGGGTGTCACTGGCGTCACGTTTGGGTTTTACGCTATAAACGATGTTGCGTAAACGAGGCCGATATTGGTCATATTATTTCTTAGTTGCTACTGTTGGGATGTCGTTGGGTGGTAGTTTATTTTGCTGACGCGGGTTCAGTATGCAAAAAATTTTATTCTGGTATTTTCAGCAATCATTTTTAGCTTTAGACATGACAGTTTCGAATAACTGTACGAAAGCAACTAAGTGAGAATCTGAATTGCATTTAGTGTGCGTTATGGATTACCTCGTCTATTTCTTCAGGCTGGTCCACTGACAGTTTATTCTTTGAGCACGTAATATGCACTCCACATTTATAGAGATTAAGAAAAGGAGGCTAACCATGTTAGACAGA